GGACTTTGGTGGGGGCCTCTTTTAGCTCTCCTCCCCGCCCCGACTCAGGACATGGCACTCTGGTTTGATCTCCCCTCACCCCCAACATCTAGTCTCCCTGCTTTCCGGATGGGGTGGGGCAGGGATTTTTTGGGGGTGGGTGGGGCACTGGGGGGTGCCCTGCATCAGGGGAAGGTTTTAACAGGGGATCCTTTTTATTCTCTGGTTGGGCAGGGGGGTAAAATTGGTTTTTTTTTTTTTTTTTTGGTTTGTTTTTTTACATATCAATGGATGCTACCCAGAGTCAGTCGCTTTTTAATATCGCACCCTCCCCTCCCCCCACCTTCCTTTTTTTAAAATAAAAAAATATATCTTAAAAACAAGAGAAACACCAATTGGTTAATATTTCTGGACCCTTTCAGGATGGGAGGGGGAGGGCAGAGCTTAGGACAGCCGAGAGATGAGTTGTGTCTAAAGAGAGGTGCTTTTGGGCGGAGCTGGGAGTCAGGACTTCTGGGTGCTGTGCCTGGCTCTGGAATGAGAATATGGGCTAGTGGTTGGTTTGTGTGGGGGTCAGGGCTCCTGGGTTCTGTCCCCAGTTCTAGGAGGGGAGTGGAATCTAGTGAGATTATTCCCACTTTAGAGAGGGGATGATCAGTGCCAGATCAGTGGCAGAACTGGGGTTAGAACCCAGGAATCCTGACTTCCAGCTGCCCCTCCCCCCTCACTCGAACGACTAGACCTCACTTACCCCAGAGGAGGCCGGTTCCTGTGCTTTGGCACCTCCCCCTCTTCCCCCCCCACCCCCTTTTGGGGAAGCTGGTTGTTAAGGAAGGAGTGCTGGCTTCCTGTTAGCCCAGTACCCAGAGGATGGAGGTGTTTCCTCTTGTGCTGACCCCGTCCCAGGTAAGAGCTTGGGGGAAAAGGGTTTGAATCTCAACTCACCTGGCTTTGCTCGTGGGGGGCAGAGGAAGTAGACTGGGAAACCCCTTGGGGCCAGGGCCCTTCCTCTCCCCATACCCCTGAGGGCTACTTTGACTTCCCCAACCAGTGCCTGATTGTTGGAGGGGCTCTCTCCTCTTGGTGCTGGGGGCTCAGTAGGGGGCACTCTCCCTTAGCAGTCAGTGTTGGCCCCATTGTCACACCAGGGGGTGCCTTGTTGCAGGGAGCAGGGTGGGAGCTCAACAGGGGGTGCTGCTCCATCCAATCAGTGCTGGCCCCAATAGACAAAGGCAGGATCATTCCTCCCATTGTATAGGTGGGGAAACTGAGGCCCAGTGCATTACAGTGACTGTCCCAAGGTCCCAGGTGGAATCTAGCAGAGCTGGGAATTGAACCCTGCTCTCCACAGGCCCCCTTGCGTGTCTGATTCCTCTAGGCTCTCCCTAGCCCAAAGGGCAGGCGGAGCAGGGCAGAGTTGATCCCTGTGGCTGTGGGAAGAGGGGCCATGGAGCAATGGTGGCTGCTGAGCACAGCAGCCTCTATCTGCTGAGCTGGGGCTGTCCCCTGGTGGAGGTGGTGGCCAGGTGATTCTCTCTCCCCGGTGAAGAGGGGGGAAGGTTGTGCCTCTTCAGCTGCCCCCCATGGCAGCTGCCTGCTGGTGGGAACATAGAAATCGCCAGCCAGGGCATGTGCCCCCCTTCTCCACCAAGCCCCGTATCCCTGTGGTGGGAGCGCCCACCAGCTACTGCTGAGGAAGGTGGAAGGACCTGGTGGATCTCATTCTGGGCTCTGGGGGAGAGTGGTTGAAATGAGGCATAATATCTCTGCCAAAGGAGAATTACAATTCTGTAAACATCCAAGTCAGAGCTTGTTGATCCTGGCTCCATGGAGGAGGAGGAGGAGGACAGGACTAGTGGGAGGGGACTTAAAAGAGCAAGAAAGCAAAACTCTGCAGCAGAAGGGATCTAGGCCCAGATCCTCACAGGTGCATAGCTCCCCTTGATAGCAATGACTTCCTGTTGATTTCAAAGGGAGCTAGCTGCCTAAATCCCTCTGGCCATCCAATTTATCCAGCAATATCCGCTAGGAAACAATAATCCTTAGCTCTCCCCTAGCACCCTTTACAATATCCCTACTTTATAGCTGGGGACACTGAGGCACAGAGCAAGGATGGGACCCCGCAGAGTCCCAGGACAGCATCAGGACAGGTTACCCTGTAGAAGTGGGACTAGAATCCAGCTCTGATGCCCTGTCTAGCGCTTTGTCCCTGGGAAAAGACTTGGAGATCTTTAGCTGCTTTGGCAAGGCTTGTGCTGCCCCCCCCCTTTTTTTTTTAAGTGCCCATCTTAAGATGCTTCTGGGGCCTTACTCAGTGAGGGGATGCTCATACTTTCTGAAACCAGACCCTCCCCTCCCCCACCCCCCTCTGCTGCCTCTTTAAGGCCCTGTTGATTAAATCCCCACGCCAGCTGTGGGCCACCCAAACAGCCTGTGCAACAAGAAAGAGATGGGAGATCATCTCTGCGCTTGGGGATGGGGGGAAGTGGAAGAGCCAGTGCAGGTTTGGGAAGCATCAAAGGTTGAAAATTTTATGACAGCTTTGAAGGACTTTGCTTAGGGCCACCCTCCCTCCGTCTCCTCCCTAAAGTCTAGGGTGGGGTTGTGGCTATATTGTATTCACTGTAACCAAGGAGGGTTAGGAGATTCTTTGATTGGGAATTGAGGGGTCATCCCCAACCTACAGAGCAGCAGCCCTGCTCTAGTGCAATTCTACAAACCCAGGGGCTTCCCATGCAGCAGAGTGGGACTCCAGGGACGCACGGGGTTAGAGCAGGAGTCTAAGGCTATGGGGTGGGAGGCCAGGTTGCTGCAGCTCAGCTGCCAGGGGGTGTGGCCCTGGGTGAGTTGCAGCAGCCCAGCTAGTGCAGGTGTATTTAGCTTCTAAGCTAGCTTGAGAGAAAGCTTAGCATCAGTGTGGACAGTTCTCTGAAAACATCCGCTCACTGCAGCAGTGGTCAGAAAGGTTGTTAGGACCTAGTAGGACAAGGACAGAAAATCCCACAAGCCTATGCTATAAACCCATGGGCATCCCCCCAGCCCCTTGAGCACTGTGTGCCGTTCTAGCTGCCCCATCTCAAAAGGATCTGGGGAACCTGGGAAAGGTTCACAGAAGGGCAACAAGGATGATCAGGGGTTGGGAATGGCTTCTACCCAAGGGGAGACTAAAGCAATTTGGGCTTAGATGGGTAAGGAGGGGGTATGATAGAGGTCTAAAATCATGACTGGCAGAAGAGTTGTATTGTGGAAAAGGAGAAGTAACAAAGTGTGGGGGGAGGGGTCAGCTGATGAGATGAATAAGAAGCAGGTTTAATACAAAGACAAGGAATGTAAAATAATGGTCTCAGAAGGAGTTCTTGGGCAAGGGATCAAAGAAAGCCAACAGCGTGGGATGTATTAGCAGGTGTGCTGTAAACAAAACAAGAATTCTTCTGTGCTGATTAGGCCTCAACTGGAGTCGTGTGTCCAGTTCTGGGCACCACCTTTCAGGAAAGATGTGGACAAATTGGAGAAAGTCTAGAGAACAGCAACAAAAATGATTAAAGGTCTAGAAAACGTGACCTATGCGGGAAGATTGAAAACACTGGGTTTGTTTAGTCTGGAGAAGAGAAGACTGAGGGGTGTGGGAACATAATAGTTTATGTACATAAAAGGTTGTAACAAAGAGGCGGCTGAAGAATTGTTCTTAACCACTGAGGATAGGACAAGAAACAATGGGCTTAAATTGCAGTGAGGGTGGTTTAGGTTGGACAGTAGGAAGATCTTCCTAACTGTCAGGGTGGTTAAGTTCCAGAATAAATTGCGATGGGGAGTTGTGGAATCTCCATCATTGAAGGATTTTAAGAAGCAGTTTGACAGTCAGGGATGGTAGAGTTATTACTTAGTCCTGCTTTGGATGCAGGGGACTGGACTAGATGCCCAACTGAGGTCTGTTCCAGTTCTGTGAAGTCTTTTTTCCACACAATTACCCTGTGGAACTTATTGCCAGGGTGATAGCCCAAAGTATAACTGAGTTAAAGAAGAACTAGATTAGTTCATGGAGAACAGGGCCAGCACTGGCTCTTGGCCAGGGATGTAACCCTCTGCTTGCATGGATGTTAAACCTCTGACTGCCAGCAGCCAAAGCCAATGTCAAATCACCTTGCCCTGCTCTGTACATGCTCCCTGAGGCTCAGTCTCCAGCAGTGGCTAGTGGGCGAGATGGACCATTGGGCTGACAGCTGCAGCTTAAGACCCTCATGTGTCAGTAAAGTGGGAAACAATAGCACCTTGCAGAGGTTGTGATACATGCTTGGATACCATCAGGCCAGGGCCGATGTCAGTTCACTAGGGCATAGGAGGACCACACTGAGGCAATGGGACTGTGTACTAGCCTAGACCACTGATGTTGTCCTGGGAAAACAGCAAGGCTGCTGCTTGTTTGCAAAGTCTCAACTTCCTGTGGTTGAGTTCAGGCCCAACTTTTCAGTAATATGCTGTAAGACAGTTCCCAAGGAGGTGGATAATCCCATCACTACACCTTCCTTAGGCACCCGTGAGTAGGAGGCAGTTCTTGGCTCAAGCATGGCTCCTGTTTTCACCTCAATCATGTAAAATCATCGACCATAGCTACTACTGGCCTCTGGTGAAGACAGGGACCTGGCTGGAGCCTGCTACCTTCTCAGAGAAGCTGCAATGGTGCATACAGCCCATTCATCCTCCCCCCCTGCTCAGAGCATGGGTTCAAGAGCTCTGGAAGCAGAGAGGTAATAGAGCCTGCAAGCTTCAGCCAGTCTTTTCCCCCTCTCTGTGCCTCAGTTTCTCCTCCCACCCTTCTTAGGGTGTAAGCTTTGAGATGGGGCTGGGTGCTGCACATTTAGGCCATCCCTATGGGCTTCCCTCTCAATTGGGGCCTGTTGGGGTTGTTGGACTTGGTGAACCAAGGTTTAAAACTCAGATATTGCCAACCGGTAGCACAGAGATCCCCTTTTCCACTCTCCCTCCCACTCCATCCTAGGTCACGAAGGAAGAGTCCAACACCAGAGCATTTAATTCATCTTTATTAAAAACCTAAAGAGTCTCTTAAAAAAAAAGCCACAGCTGTTGTTTAAATGAGTTTCCTGTTCACAGTTTGTCATGTTAAAATGAAACCAGCAGGACACACACTTCATCAAAAAGGCCACTTGCTCCACTACAGCTAGGTTCCCTACAGTTCACGACAACACCGTTACACACATTAGCAGGCTGTGGCTCTAGGGGCGGTAGGCTGAAGAACCACGTCCCTCTCCGCAAGACGCAGCCTAACCGCACGGACGCCCATTGACTGGGAATGGCTGAAGAGCTGGGCTCTTCTTCGGCCCGTGCTTTCCCCTTTGAGATCCAAGTGTTGGAGAACGCAGGCCTATCCCTTGAAGATGGCCAAGTCTGAGGGGCAGGAGGCTGCATAGAGTTGCATGGCTGGCTTGACATCTGGCTCCTCTAAACTTCAGTAGTGAGCCGTGGCTAGGCCATGGCAAGAAGCCTGCTGCCACCTCTCCATGGGGTGAAGTCAGCCAGCAGCCTTGGGGTTCCTCCAGCGAGGAGCTTCCCCGTGGAACTTTATGGAAGATGAGCAGAGTTTGGTGCCATCCATGGCTTACCTGAGGACCTCGGTGGGCATGGAGAAGAGACCCTTGCTGTGCTGAAGAGCACCAGAGAGGTCCCCCGCCACAGCATCCAGCCCAGCGCCTCCCCTGGAGCCGAGCAGCACAGTAGAGGGAAGCAGGGCTGAGCTGTTATGGTGGAGATGGCACCATGGGGCCTTCCTCTCTGCCACCAGTAGTCAGGAGGCTGGACCTAGGCAGAGGCTTCTTGTAAGCCAGCCTGCCCATAGACACAAGGGGCGAGCAGCTAGGGACTGCTAGAGTGCAGGGCTGCCTCAAAACACACCCCCTTGCCAGAGGCTTGGCCCCTGCAGGAGAGGAATTCCCAGCCCCCCTCCAAGCCTCTCCACCCCACTCTGCCCATGACCCTCCCCAACCCCCTGCACCCAGGCCCGACCTGAGGATCCAAGCCTTCAATCCACCCCCCACCCATCCACCACCAGGGCTCTTTCAGCTACTGGAGTTTTGGCTGGGCAGCGGCAGTCAACAGAGAGAGCAGATCTGTGCATAAAGGCTACATCCACAGCAGCAAAAAGCAAACACAACAACACACCCCCACAATGCAACAGCAGGAACGTCAGCCAACGCCTCTGCTCTCTTCCAATGCAGCAAGCAAATCATGTCAAACTACCCCCATGCATGCAGCACAGGCCCCCAGCCCCGGTCCATGAGCCCAGCTCCAAGAGCATGGTGGTGGGGGGGAAGAGAATTAGAGAACATTCATTGAAGAGTTAGGTCCAGCTTTAAGGCCATGCCATTCTTCCTCCCCCCATCCTGCCACAGGCTAGACAGATCATGGACCCAACTGACCCACCCCAACTCTTCGATGTCTTCGAGGGGGAAGAGCCCCTGGGCAAGGAAAGCTCCACGGCCGCCATGGCTTCGATTCTTCCAGCTACACCATGGGCGGTTGGCACTGTTCTGAAGGAATGAGGCCTCTTCTAGCAGCGGGTGGGAAGGAGGTGAAGAGATGGGCTTGGCTGTTTGAGAACTGGCTGGGAACTGCCAACCCCTCTTCCAAAGAACCTGTAGATTTTAGATTCCTTATGGAGGCCACCAGGGCTAACGAACTAAAAGGGTCTCTTAAGGGACCAGACTCAGGAGGTATGTGGCAGGCAGGGGCTCTTATGGGCTCACCCCACCTTAGGAAGGGGCTTGCAAAAAAGAGTTTTGCCCATCCTGCTGTTAACCCTTCACCTGCAGGCTCTGGGAGCTCCATGGAGCTGGGGAAGAGGGGACAAGATCAGAATTCAGACATTTGAAACCAAAGTCAAGGACTTGGGGGAAGCAGCTACGTCTCATCCCAGTGCAAGTTCTTCCAGTGGCCGCCTCCACCTGGTTACTTGGGAAGCCACTTGCTCCACTGTGGGCCAAGAGGTAGAAGGAAAGTTCTGCGTGGCTGGATCAGAGGCACTGGCCAACCCACCATGCATGATCCCCCAGAAAAGCCAAGGGAAGGAGAAGAGCAGGTCACAGCAGGGATTTAAGCCACAACAGGCAGAGTCTTCAACTAGAGGAGGTGTGGGGAAGAGGGGGTGAAGCCAGCGTGGGTGGAGGAAGTCAGTGGAAGGTCTCCACCTCCACCACTGTCCAGTCGCCCTGGGGAGACGAGACGTCCTCGGGGGAGAAGCTGGTGACTGAGGTGATGCTGGCCCGAGACTCATCCAATGGTGACAGCAGGTCTGTCCACTTGCCGAGCTCCACCTCACTCATGACAGGGGCCCCTCTGCCCCCCACTGGCATCTCCCCAGTGGTGGAGAAGAGCAGAGTCCGGCTGATCAGCTGCTGCATGACAGTTGCTTGGAGACTTCCCAGGTGCAGGGGGGCCTTGTCACGGGGGTCAGCGGGCAGGAGCTGGCAGCTCCCATCCTCCTCTTCCGGCACCTGCCCAGGGGTCTCTGCGCCTCCTTCCACCTCGTAGATGGTGGAGAGGATTTCAGGGGGGCAGGGCCCCCAGGAGAAGGGCCCCAGGCCAGCCCCACTCTCACCTACAACAGGGCACAGGAGCACGGGTTGGAGACAACAGCCCATGGGGAGGGGTGTCAAGACGGACGAAGGAAAGACAGGGGGCACCAACAGGACAGACTGGCATAGGCACACACAGACAGGCAGGGAGGAGAGTCCAGGCAACATCCAGGGTTAGCCCATTCGACACCACCCCACCCAGACAAGATGCCCAAAGCGGCTTCAACTAGGAACTGGCTCCTACTTCCCCACCTATGGCCAGATCTTCAGGATGCCTCCATGGCAGCGATACCCAGGCTGCCAGCAGCTGCCCAGGAGGGAGACAAGGTCTTGGGGGCAGTATCCTAAGCAGAGCAGCTAAGGAGAAGGCTAGTGGCGCCTTCACTGCTTCCCCCCGAGATGGTCTTTGCTGGGTGGAGCTACTCCTGCTGCAGTGAGTTGGCTGATGGATGCAACATTAACTGCATGTCTGGGTCCTGTACTGCAGCTAGGGACCCGGGGTTTAGCACCAAGGAGGACAGAGTCTGGTGGGAGATGCCTAGATTAGGTCCATCTCCTACCAGCCACGAAGCTTCCATTTAAGCACAATGCGCTGGGACCAACCTAGGCACAGCATCCTTCGGCTGTTAAAGTTATCTAGCGTCTCCATGACAACCGCATCACTGAAGCTGCCCATAGAACTAGGCCTCGGGTCATGGCAGGGGCCTGGTTTTTCGGCTAGATCTGTCCAAGGGAAGGTACTACAGCATCAGGTGCTCTAGTTCTCAAAACTATGGTCTGTGGACTCAGGAAAGTTCCCTTGGACCAAAACATCCAGGAGATGAGGGCTGGTGGGGTCTAGAAGAGTCTACCCACCACATGGTGGTCCAGGGAAGGCTTGAGACGCTCTCAGCCCCATGAAGAACTTCCATGTGGCGGCCAAACTATCTCCTGGAGAACTCATGGCAACAGAACGTCTATGGCTAAGGCCAGACGTTCTAGTCTACTGCTAGGCTACAAACCAAGCAGTTAGACATCAGCCATGATAGATGGCTGCTTCCTAGCCCCCACCCCAAACCTACTTGGCTCTGCTTGCTGCTGCCAATCACACCCCCCACCCCCACTCCCTCTAATCTCCCCTCCCCAGCCCAAGCTAAGGTAAGAGTCCTGCACAAAAATACAAAGAACAGGCCAGGAGGTCAGATCCAGATAAGTGACTCTTTATTCAACGTACCGAAAGGCTAAAAAGTTTGGCCCCCAATCCTCCACCCAGAAAGGGAAGAACATTAAAACACAGATGTCTTCCCCCTAGGTGCCCATGATCCTGGGGGGAAAGCCTGATCTAGACACAGAATAATGTAGGCTATGGACGAGGGACTGTACAGCAGTGTCAGACCCTTCTGGCTAGGTGGGAGATAAACACCGGGAGAGGAAGAGGGGGAACACTGATGGGGCGGGGGGGAGATTCCCTTCAGCAGGGGGACACTATTGCACATGACTGAGTTAAGCTTTAAGGTACCTCGGCGATGGCACTTGGGCACACATGGCAGGCTCCTCTATACGTTACCTGCCGCCGGGCCACGGGGAGCAGTGCCATAGGGCTGGGAGGCCGGTTCCTCCTCGTCCGCCAGGCCCATCTGCAGGGGGCGTTCCAGCTGGCAGCCCCAGTCTCTGGGGAGGGAGATTTTGCTGTGCTCTTCTGTCTCGGGGAGGCTGGCCGGCTCGGCGCCCTTGGGGATCTGCTCTCTGGTGTTCTCGGTCGAGTGCTCTTCGCTCTCCAGGGAGGAGAGGCCGGGGCTCTTCCCGCAGCTGTCAGTGGAGGGAAGGTGGAAGGCAGCATCGAAGGAGGTGGCCGAGTTGGTGGAGGCCGGCGTCCCCGTGCCAGCATCACCCGAGCCCAGCTCCGACTCCTCCAGGGACGGCTTGCGGCGCGGGGAGGCCACCCGGCACACCAGGGGCTTGCCCATGGCAGGGAAATCAGGCTCCTTCAGGAGGTCTCTGTCCAGCTCGCCCTCCTCCTCAGAGGACACTGTGGGCAGGTCACCTAGGAGCTCGTCTGCTGGGAGGGTCTCTGCCTCATCGTCCCCCTTGTCCATGTGGATCCCCAGGTCCTGCTCCCCCGGCAGGTCCTCCAGGGGGCTGCGAGGGAAGGTCTGTTCTGGCTTCTCGTCCGACTTCGACTCCACACCAGAGCTGCTGTCGTACTCCCGCAGCTCCTCCGGGGTGCTCGTCTCACTGCTGCTCTTGCCGGCCAGGTCGGGGCCACTCAGCGTGCTGGACTTGGAGGAGCGGCTCTTGGGCGGCCCCTCCGACTCGGCGCTACTGGACCACAGCTGCCCCGGGTGCGGGGGGCGTTGGGCTGGCTCCTGGGGCAGCTCCAGGCTCTTCAGGGGCAGGCTCTGAGGCTTGTGCAGGGTCACCTCGGGGCACAGCGGTGACCCCCGTTGGGCATGTGGCTCTGGGTCCTCCAGCACATCAGCCCCACCCTTCAGTAAGGGCTCCCCTTCTGCAGACCCCACCTTGGCAACGTCTCCAGGAGAACCTAGGTGGTCGTATCCCAGCTCGGCTTCCTCAGGACTTCTCAAGGTGCCTCCGGCCAGCTCAGCAGGGAGAGACCCCCCAGCACCAGAGAGGGACATGCCAGGAGGAGAAGCAAGGCTGGGTTGGTCTTCAGGGCCCTTGCTGTCCTCAGGGAGCTGTTCTGTGGGGGGAGCAGCCGCCGCCTCCCCTGGCTCATGCCCTGCACGGACAGGCTCTCCGCTGAGCCCCTCTATCCCCTGGGAAGCAGCCACTGCCTCTGTACTAGTCATTCCTTCAGCATCCAGATCCTCCATCTTTCCAGAGCCCCTGCGAGTGCCCTGTGTTCCTCTCTCCAGGGGAAGAGCATCCTGGGTCTCCTGTCCATGCCCTGGCAGGGTCAGAGAGAGACTCCCCTCGTTCTGCTCCTCTCTCAGCTCCACGGCTCCTGGCTCTGCCACATCTTCCGGGGAGACCCCCTCCAGGCCAACCCGAGGCAATGAGTCCATCTTGTGCATTGACCACTCTGCCTCTGGCTGTGCCGGCGTCTCTTCCTCCCGCTCCCCCCCTCGCAGAGGCTCTGCCGGGTGCTTCGGTGACATGGATGGAGATTGCCATCTCCCTGTGCCACCCCGAGGGATCTCTTCACTGAGGGGCAGCATCTGGGAGGCCCCGGCTGGGCAGGAGGAATCCAGCTGGGCTGGGGCCAGGCAGGTCATGTCCTGAACCGCTCTTCCTTTGCCTTCCGACCACAAGTCCAGGTGCTCAGCAGGCATCAGGGCTTCCTGGCAGGGCAATGGTTCCCCCTCGGCTGCTAGGCCAGTCTCACAGGGGTCTAGAAGCATAGCTGGGGTGTCCACCAGGCTCTGCTCTGCCTGGGGTGTGAGCATCTCATCAGGGAGCTCTGTGCCCACTGGCTTTGGCCCCCAGGTGCCTGCTGTGGGCAGCATCTCCCTGGGAGGAGAGCCAACCCCTTGTGGTGGGGAGAGACCAGTCAGCTGCTGGTCTCCAGGACAGCTCTCTTGGTGGGACAGAGGCTCAGCTGCCACCAGCTCTGGGCCAGATGAGCCTCCTCCTTCCTGGGGTGCTCCACCTCCAACCACCCCTTCCAGGTCCCTGACGGGTGTTTGCTCCCGTGAGCTATAGGCTGGAGTTGCTGGGAGCAGAGCATCCTTGTCTGCAGGGACCGGCTTGGGCAGGAGCGGGCCCACCTCTGGCGTTAATCCTTGCTCATCCAGAGGCCTCACGCCGCCCTCAGGGGCTGCCCTTTCCGTGCCAGGCAGGGCATCAGGAGAGGCCACAAGGACATTGGCAGCAGCTTCCTTGGCCTCTCCCTGCCCTGAGGAAAGCAGCTTTTTCCTGGGCACGGGCACTGGCTCCAGGTTGTAGCTAGCCTCTTTCTTAGGGGGCTTCTTGCCAGGGCTCCCAGCAATCAGCCTCTTCGGGGTGGAGGCCACCGCTCTCTGTGGGGTGGCAGGACGGCTGCCCCCTGCCTTGGGAGAGGTCTTCGGCCCCGGAGGCCCTGGCTTCTCCAGGCCCTTGGGAGCGGCAGGGACTGGGTGGCTCTTGGCCTTGGGCTCCACCGGGAGCTTGGCTTTGGCAGTTTTGACCTGGCCAGCAATCTTGTCGAGGGCAGGGTTTGAGCCAGCTAGCCGGGCCCTGGAGATGGGGGCAGCTCTGACGAGGTCTGTAAGGGACAAGAAAGAAGCCAGGTCTCAGGGCCAGGCTGCAGATTTATAGCCAATTGGAAGTGCCTTCTGGGGTAACAGACCAGGCCAATAGAGGGCACTGTGAGCTGCTGCAGCACCCTGGGAAAGCCACTGGGTCCCACGAAAGTGGCCCAAGTACCACCTCACTCCATGGGGCAAGGATAGAGCAGGCTTTAAGCCACCTTGGTGGTGGTCCTAACGATGGCCCTGCCCACAGAGTCACTGGGAGCAGCCACGGGGCTGCTCCAACTCATGCGCTCCCTTAGGAAATGAGAGAACATCCGTAGTGCAGTGCACTCCAGCTGCATCCCTAATGCCCAGGGCGGGGAGCTGAGCCCTGGGATCGGCTCCATGCTGGCTGGGGTCCCCGTGCCCCCCAGCATGGTGGGTCAGGGAGAGACTCTCAGAGGAGCTGAGCCCTGAGCAGCACGTCGGGGCACTGGGGTAACAAAGTGGGGGGGGTTGGGGGGTGGAGATCGTTCCTTGGACATCCCACCGCTGGGCGAGCGAGCGGCAGCAGCCCGCTGCCCGCTGCTGCGGAGGAAGGGCCACCCCCGCTCCTGCCCAGGGTCAGGGGCAGCCCGGCGTCCCAAGCAGGCAGCAGCCTACGAATACACCTCGCCCTTTGCCCCAGGCACCCTTCCCAAGGGATCCAAGCAGACCCTGGGTCTCAGACGCCCCGGCTGCCCGCGCGGTGGAGTCACCGTAGCTTGCTGGTGTCAGATCTAAGCCGCCTACCAATGCTTCGTCGCGAGGCGCGTGTACCTTTCTTTGCGGAGGCGGCCGTGTTCTTCTGCTGCTGTGGTACTGCTGAGGCCTGGCCACCAGGTGGCGCCATCTGCTTAGGTTTGGCCATGGCTGGTTTGTTACTGGCCAGGGCTCTGGTGTACTCCGTCCCTGGAGCAGGGGGTCTGAAACCAGAACAGAGAGGGGTGAAGGGAGAGAGAAGCCAGCAGGTGTTTGTCTCATGCAGTCAACAGAGATGGGTCCATGTCACACCCTGAATACCTGGATGTTCTCTACGCTTCTCCCCTGCAGAGCTCAAAGCCCTGTTCTCCCCACTCTACATATGGGGAAACTGAGGCACAGGGCAGGGCAGTGACCTGCCCAAGGTCACCCAGCAGGCCAATGGCAGAGCTAGGAATAGAACCCAGGTCACCTAAGAGCCAGTCCTGTGCCCTGTCCACCAGAGGGACCAAGTGGTACAGCCCAGGGGATGCCAGAGCAAGCTCCCCCAGTGCACGCACTGCTACACCACAAAGGGACTGCCTAGTACCAGTCTGCAGTGGTCTGAGACGGATGTTCCCAACCCTGACTGGGGGACTCCTTGCTCCCTGACTAGCTCGAGCAGGGGTCACTGTATCATCTGCGCACCTCACCATCTTTACTGCTGTTACTCCAATGTACCCAGGAGGGGAAACTGAGGCAAAGGGGACAAAGTGGTTTGCTCGATCTCACACAGGGAGGCTGTGGTGGTGCTGGGAACTGAACCCAGTGTCTCAAGTCCCCAGCTTTTTAGTGGGACCCAGCGGCTTTCCCAGGGTGCTGCAGCAGCTCACAGCGCCCTCTATTGGCCTGGCCTGTTATCCCAGAGTTCTAGTCACTGGGCCGGCCTTTCCTTTCTGCACCGAGAGGCACTTGGCCAGCTACCAAACAAATCCAAGCCATCCAGGCCTTTTGCCAGGCCAGGAGCTTAGGGGATCTGAATGGAGGCTACGTTCTTGCAAGTAGAGGCTCACCCTCTGGAGAGCTCTGACTGATGCCCCTCCAACACCCCCTTTGTCTCCCAGCTGCAAGCCCCCTCGGCAGGCAGGACGCATTGCTGCTGCAGCACCTCTGAACACAAGTGCTGAATCCATCAGTCTTGGGGTTACAGTAAAACCCCTTCCGAATCACAGCCGATTAGCCCCACCATATCCACACTGAAGGGCAGCTTGCCGGGCCTCCCCGGTGAGCCAGAGCCCTGGCCTCCCCCCAGTGCTGGGATCAGGGTTTTGAGAGAGAAAACGGGAAGAACATTTGAAGTCCCATTCAAAGCAGAGTTTCCCGCTAACCTGCCCGGTGGGGTGCTGAGAGCCCTCTAACCCCACTAACACACTGGGGGAGTGAAACTGACTAGACGCTCAAGTGAAACTGACAAGCTTGACTTATCTCAGGAGAGTGGAATTAAACAGCCAGCTCTAATGGCAATGGATGAGGGAGACTCACCTCAGTCACATCTCCACTTTAATCCCAGCTTAAGTGCCCCACCTGTGGTCCTTTGCACCAAAGCAAGAGGGCTGCCAAACTAGAACAGCATCTGGTGTGCATGGCAGTCCAGAACCTCTTGTTGAGAGTCTCACGGCGCTTCCCCCTGCCCTGACCCCCATCCCTAGCCCCATGAAGTTGGGAGACCCCCCTCATCAACCTCTTTCTGGGGCTGACCAAGATGCCCCTGAATCAGCCCGGGAGGAAGCTGGACAGGGAGGTGCACTGCAACTGTGGGGCCTATTTCCAGCCCCACTGGTATCCTGTCTCCAGGCAGAGTTCCTCTGAGCAGCAGGTGGCCAGGGTTCTCTGCTCAGAATCCCTGTCAGGTACCCTCATTTTGACACACACACCCCCCCGCCCCCACATCCTTGTTTTCACATGTGTTGTCCCAAGTCCTCGGCTGATGGGGTGGGGGTTAGTTTTGGGTGGGCCTAGCCCCCACCCTTCCCAGAATTCAAACAGGCCAGTCCACATGGGAGCCGGGAACTGGGCACAGTGTTGGCTCAAGCTTTCCCCATTACCTTGAGGCATTCAATAAAGGTGTGCTGGTGAGAGTTGGATTTGCCTTTTAGCTATACTTTTCTTTTTTTTTTTTTAAGCCATCTAATTGAAGACAAAAGTCCACTTCCCCCAGAAAAACAGGGCTGGAAGGGAGCTCAAGAGGTCATCAAGTCCAGCCCCCCAACACTGGGGCAAGACCAAGTACACCTAGACCATCCCTGACAGCTGTTTGTCCAACCTGTTCTTAAAACCCTCCAGTGACGAGGATTCTACAAACCTCTTTTGGAAGCCTGTTCCTGATCTTTAATCTAATTGTTCAGCGTAGTTAAGTTTTTCCTAATATCTAACCTAAATCTCCCTTGCTGCAGCTTAAGCCCATTACTTCTCATCCTACCTTCAGTGGACATGGAGAACAATTGATCCCAGTCCTCTCTCTAACAGCCCTTCATGTATTTGAAGACCATTGTCTGGTTCCTCCCCCCTCCCCAGTTTTCTTTTCTCAGACTAAACATGTCCAGGTTTTTCGCTTTTCTGCACAGGTCAGGTTTTCTAACCCTTTGATCATTTGTGTTGCTCTTCTCTGGACTCTAATTTGTCTACATCTTCCCTAAAGTGCGACGCCCAGAACTGGACACAGGACTCCAGCTGAGGCCTCCCCAGTGCCGAGCAGAGCTGGACAGTTACATACGACGCTCCTGTTAGTACACACCAGAATGGCATTAGCCTTTTTTGCAACATTGTTGACTTGTCCTCTATAAGCCCCAGGTCCTTTACAGCAGGATGACCACCTAACCAGTTATTCTCCATTTTGTAGATGGGCATTTGATTTTTCCTTCCTAAATGAAGTACTTTGCATGTGCCTTTACTGAATTTCATCTTGTTGAATTCAGACCAATCCTCCAATTTGTCACAGTCATTTCGGACTCTCATCCTCTCCTCCACAGTGCCTGCAACCCCCCGTTTGCTGTCATGTGCACATTTATAAACTTACCCTCCGCCCCATGATCCAAATCATGAATGAAAATACTGACTAGTACCAGACCCAAGACTGACCCCTGCAGGACATCACAGCACTGGAACAACTACGAGTACGACCAGTTGCGCACCCACCTTTCCCTAGTTTGCTTATGAGAGAGGATCACTTGGGACTGTGACAAAAGCCTCACTAAAAATCAAGTTACATCATGTCTATGGCTTTCCCGCCACCCACTAGGCCAGAATGGGTGAATGGACTTTAAGAGAGGGTGATGAACCATTGGTACAGCTTCCCAAGGGGCGTGGTGGTTTCTCCATCACTGGATGTCTTTAAGAATAACCAAGCCTGGATGGTTTTGTTTGTTTTTGTTTTTAAGGCCACTCCCTAGTTCAGCCACAGCTCCCGAGTCATGGGACTCCTGTGTTGTGCAGGACATGAGCCCAGGGGTCTCCTCTAGCCTTCCAGGAAGAATAGCAGTAGCTATTTCTTGTCATCTCTTTGGTTTGTTACAGAACAGGAAAAAAGCCACCGTTGGGTCCCAGATAAGCCTATTTCCCAACTATGCACAAAACAAGCCAGGCCTAGTCACCTACGGCCTGCTGCTCGGACAGGTTCTGACAGCTCTCAAAACACGGGGGCCAGCAGTCCAAAGGGGACGCTGCCTTGTTCCCATACACTCCAACAAACATAGGCCAGACAAGCCACCTGGGGCTTTGTGCATCAGGCAGGTTCACATCTGTCTGAGCCAACGCATCTCTTGTAGAAAGACATCCAGGCTCAATTTAGAGGGATGGAGAATCCCCCACAGCATTCTCAGGGCTAAAAATTCACCCTATTTCTAATCTGAATTTGGCCGGCTTCAACTTCATTGATCTCATTTGGACTTTGGCTGCTAGATTAAAGAGCCGTCTACCACCAGAAGTCTCCTCCCCCCTTTGGGATATTTCTGTCTCATGATATGCAGAACCACAGTCCATCTGTAACAGGAAGCATTTACTGAACCACAGACAAGCCTCCACTTAGCTCATGTCCCACTTCTGTCTCTGTTGTTTACCAGGGACCACTCCCTGACTGGAATGCTATGCAGCTCAGGGACATCTCGTGGCTGAACAACATACTGCCAGTGAACATCCCACCACACACTAATGAGAGAGAAAATTCTGAAAGGTTTCTAACACAGAGTCTGTTTCCGTCTCATCTCATGCTCTCCCAAGTGCTGCCTCTGATCTGGGACGGTTTTCCTCTGGAAGTTCCCCTAGATCAGGGACTCCTGCTACCAGCCCTTCTCATGCTGTTATTCGCGTGATTGCGTCTGATCACATTAGATCAGGTAGCACACACACCCTGCACGTGGCTCATGGCATTTGCCTCTGCCTGCTGCTCCAGCTGGGCTGGGGGTCCCAAGGGCAGGGCCTTGCCTGATCAGGAGCCATCCCACATGGAAATCTTATCCAGACCCCATCAAATGCCAGCCTTCCTAGCACCACCATGTGCCCCCTTGCTGGGTATCCTAGGGCAGGCTTTTTACCCAGCCCCTCCCACATCTGTCCCCATAGTATCAAGAGCAGCCAGCAGGCAACTTCATACCATACCTGGAAGGGTTAGCAGATTCCGGTTTCTCAGGCTTCACTGAGGCCGACTTTGGGACTAGAAACAGGGAGAGAGACAAACAGACACAGCTTCAGCGCCCGGAGATCTGAGGTTACTGATGAGGCCGCTGTTCCAATATCAATGGACATGGAGTGGGGGGGGGCGCGGAGGGGGGGGTGTTTCACGGAGAGCACAGGCTGCGTTCCAGTTCCACAGGGGTGGACGCGGGTGCAGAGAGCACAGGCTGACAGCTCTGGAGTTTAGCCCTGAAGTCTAGAGTAAGAAGCTGGAGGGGCTGCCCAAAGCTCTGGGCAGGTAGGTTAGTGCCAGGGCAACAGGACTCCTGGGTTCTATTCCCAGCTCTGGGATCCAAGAAGTCAGGGCACACAGGAGAGGAAGCTGGTGCTGCCCCCATCAGTGCAGTTGTGCCACCCTCCGTGGAACGGGATTTAGCTTTGGCCCCTCTGGCAGAGGGGCCGAACCCCATGGCAGTGGGAGGACGGGCACCTGGCCCGCTAGGAACGGGGACTATGATCTGCCACACTCGCTGCAAACAGGGGCCTCTCAACCACCCTGGCTATCGCTAGTGCAGGGGAAACCAGGGGTTCTATCCCACTCCCCCAAGCCAGGTCACGGTGTGTGTGGGAGGGTGTGAGACTAAGGGGACCCTCCCCCGCTAAGCGCTTTACCTATCATGCCATAGCATGGCATTGCCCTGCCCCTGCAGTGGGACAGGATGCCACAACATGGCTCCCTTATCAGCAACACCAACCCCTGACCCCAGTCTGCTGCCAGCCGTTTTATTTGGGGGGTTCTGATCACAGCCCAGCACACCCCTCCCCCGTTTACTATAGAGCCATAGTGAGAGCCCCCCCTTCCAGCCTTCCTCCCCCCAGTCTCCTTACAGCCTTCTATCAGCCCACAGGGGACTTTCTGCACTGAGCCTTCCCCAGATCAGGACTGAACCGCCCTGGCGTAGGACAAGGGGCTGAGGAACAGGCCCTAAGGCACCTGTAGGGCCCAGGGATCCCAGCCTGGTGCCACCCCCTAAGGTTGCCAATTTGGGTTGGACGTATTCCTGGAGGTTTCATCACATGACAATCTTTAATTACTCGAGACTCCAGGACAATCCTGGAGGGTTGACAACCCTACCACCCGCCCAGACGGGCCTGGTGTTGGCAGGAAGGTGAGGAACATACCCAAGGCCACAGTTGGGACCGGCGTCTTCCTCACGGCCTTCAGCTGCCCGGCCTTGCCCGGCCCAGCCTTCTCTGAAGGCTTTGCCCCACTCTCGCCCGCCGGCTTCCTGGCCACCGCTTTGGCCGGAGTGAGCTTGGCAACGGCAGCACCAGCTTTGGGTGCTGATGCTGCTGCCGGTGGCTTCCTCTGCGAGGCTTCGGCCCTCGGGGGCACCCCATTGCTGAGCGGCTTGGAGCCGCCACCCGGGGCCACAGGGGGATGGGCGTGGGTGGTCGCAGGCCGCCTAGCTCCAGAGACGGGGGCTGATCTCACAGCGTTCTTGGCAGGCTTGGGTTTTGCTGCAGGCTGGCCAGCTGCTGCCGCCCCTTTCCCAGCAGTTGCCATGCCATTGGTCTGGGGCGGGGGGGGCCCATTGGCAGTAGCTTTGCCATCCATCTTGTGCCACCCAGGTGCTGGGCAGGCCGTCTGCCCCCTCCAAGGTGATGGAGAACAGCCAAATCCTCCTCTGCCTCCGAGCTAGGACTGAAAGAGACAGACGTTAATCGGAGAGGGACCAGTTCCGCCCCACTCTGCAGCACCTCCAACTAAAGCTTTGCCTCCCCCACCTCCAGGGAGGGAAATCTCTACTAGCCAGGGGCAGAGCTGAAAGATCAGCCCCCCCCCGTAGCACACCAGGTTAGAAGCCCTGACCTCCCCAGACCTGATGGGAAAGGCCCATCCCCACGCTTTGTCCATTGATCCCATCTTCCCTGGCCACCTCTGGCTAGTAGCCTCTGAAGCATTCCAAGCACCAGGAAGAGGGGGCTCTCCTCCATCAGGCCCCTTAACAGTGGGGTGTCTTATCCCCTCCCCCAATCTTAGAGGGACTTCCCCCTACCTCCCCCCCACCCCATGAATAGCTCCAGCCCTGGCATCCTCCTCCTGCTCAGCCTTGCCAAGGGGCACAAAACAGTCAGTGCCGGTCACTTTCATGAGTGCCCATAGACAGAGTAGCCATGAAACTGACTAGAGCCCATACAGGTCCCCATGGTTAGGTAGAAAGATGAGCAACAGAAGCAGCACAGAGCTGCCTGCAGGTTCAGGAAGGCAGTGCTGCATTGGGAAAGACTTACAGGCTTAAGCACGAGTTTAACTTAAAACACAAAGTTAAATTCCGCAGCAGTGGATGTCAACTGCCTGCCCCTCCACACAGGAAGGGTTCCCACTCTTTTGGAGCTCGGGACTCAGACTTTAAGGTCAGAAGGGACCATTATGATCATCTAGTCTGACCTCCTGCACAACGCAGGGCACAGAATCTCACCCACCCACTCCTGTAACAAACCCCTAACTTATGTCTGAGCTATTGAAGTCCTCAAATTGTGGTTTAAAGACTTCAAGGTGCAGAGAATCCTCCAGCAAGTGACCCATGCCCCACGCTGCAGGGGAAGGCAAAAAACCTCCAGGGCCTCTGCCAATTCCTTCCCGACCCCAAATATGGTGATCAGCTAAACCCTGAGCATGTGGGCAAGACTCACCAGCCAGATACCCAGGAAAGAATTCTCTGTAACAACTCAGATCCCACCCCATCTAACATCCCATCGGGCATATCTACCACTAATAGTCAAAGATCAATTAATTTCCAAAATTAGGGCTATCCCATCATATCATATATATGTCTCCTCCATAAATTTATCGAGCTTAGTCTTGAAGCCAGATATGTCTTTTGCCCCCACTGCTTCCCTTGGAAGGCTGTTCCAGAACTTCACTCCTCTGATGGTTAGAAACCTTTGTCTAATTAAGTCTAAACTTCCTGATGGCCAGTTTATATCCATTTGTTCTTGTGTCCACATTGGTACTGAGCTTAAATAATTCCTCTCCCTCCCTGGTATGTATTCCTCTGAGATATTTATAGAGAGCAATCATATCTCCCCTCAACCTTCTTTTGGTTAGGCTGAAGAAGCCAAGCTCTTTGAGTCTCCTTTCATAAGGCAGGTTTTCCATTCCTCGGATCATCCTAGTAGCCTCTCTCTGTACCTATTCTAGTTTGAATTTATCCTTCTTTTTTGCCTTCCTCTGTAGCATGGGGCACAGGTCACCTGCTGGAGGATTCTCTGCACCTTGAAGTCTTTAAACCACAATTTGAGGACTTCAATAGCTCAGACATAAGTTAGGGGTTTGTTACAGGAGTTGGTGGGTGAGATTCCGTGGTCTGCGTTGTGCAGGAGGTCAGAGTAGATGATCATAATGGTCCCTTCTGACCTTAAAGTCTATGATTCTAACACATGGGAGACCAGAACTGCACACAATATTCCAGGTGAGGTCTCACCAGTGCCTTGTATAACGGTACTAAAACCTCCTTATCTCTACTGGAAATACCTCTCCTGATGCATCCCAAGATCGCATTAGCTTTTTTCATGGCCATATCACATTGGCGGCTCAGTCATCCTGTGATCAACCAATACTCCAAGGTCCTTCTCCTCCTCCGTTACTTCCAATTGATGCGTCCCCAGCTTATAACTAAAATTCTTGTTATTAATCTCTAAATGCATAAGCTTGCACTTTTCACTATTACATTTCATCCTATTACTATTACTCCAGTTTACAAGGTCATCCAGATCTTCCTGTAGGATATCCCAGTCCCTCTCTGTGTTGGCAATATCTCCCAGCTTTGTGTCATCCGCAGACTTTATTAGCACATTCCCGCTTTTTGTGCCAAGGTCAGTAATAAAAAGATTAAATCAGATTGGTCCCAAAACCGATCCCTGAGGAACTCCACTAGTAACCTCCCTCCAGCCTGAGACGCCGAGCATTTTACAGATTGAACGAAATTTAGCCTCATACCCCATTCCCTGCAAAACAGGCCAGCTTCATCCCTATTTCACAGCTAGGGAAACTAAGGCACTGCCAGGGTGGAAATCTGCCCTGCACCACACAGCCAGTCCAAAGCTATCTGGGAATACGCCTTAGTCCAACCTGCTTGGATTGAGAGATTTTTCCCAGATGGACTCAAATCCCGAAATCCCCTTGGATTTAAAGGGAACCCAAATCCCCAGGGATGCAACTCTGATAGCATTGGACCCCGAAGCTCACAGGGAAATCCACAAGCCCTTGTGCTTACCATCTATTCTTTATCTCCCCGGAAAACGCTGGAGCTGTTAATTCTACTAAGTGGCTGGAATACACTAGAAAGCAGTTACATAATAGAAAAATCTTTATTGTACAGGCAGGGAGCCCGTTTCCTATTTGCACCTGGGCTGCTCAGTTCTCACCAGTGTTTCGTGGACGCTCAGCCAGCTGGTCTTCACAGAGCGCGCTTACAAACACCCACCCCCCTCCACGATCACAGCTTTCAGCCAGGAGCTCAGATTCACATTCAAGAGGACATAATCACCCAGGAGATGAGCGGTGCTGGCCCCCGTCCAGTCACGAGCAAACTAACCTGTCACAGCCAGGGCTTCTTAATCATCGGGGTGGGGGTGGGGGGCAGAAATGGGGAGATCTGGTTTGAAAAGGCCTGGAGAATAGAGTATTTCATGCCCTGACTCCCAGGTGGTTTCCTGCTGTGTCTAAACTGGCGTTTAAAAGGTGCAATGCTGGCCCCAAATATGCCAATATCAGACCTAATCAGTGTTGCCAAGCCGGAGTGTGCAGAAATCAGATGATCAGCTTAAGAATTCACGCATGTGAGGAATCTGGGTCTTCTGGTTGGAGCCTGTAGAGCTAGGATTGCCAACTTTCTAAAATTGCACAAAACTGAACACCTCTGCCACACCCCTTCTCCCACAGCCCTGCCCCTTCCCCCATGGCCCCACCCATACTCACTCCACCCCCCACTCCCCATCGCTCACTCTCCCGCACCCTCACTCACTTTCACTGGGCTGGGGCAGGGGGTGCAGGCTGCCAGATGGGGCCAGGGATGAGGGGCTTGGGGGTGCAGGAGGGGGTTCTGATCTGGGGCAGGAGGGTGGGGTGCAGGCCAGGGTTTGGGGTGCAGGCTTCAGCTGGGCAGTGCTCAAGAGGCTCCCGGTTGGCGGCAGAGCAGGGCTAAGGCAGGCTCCCTGACCCGACTCCATGTGACTCCTAGAAGTGGCTGGCATGTCCAGCTCCTAGGCACCAGAGCCAGGGGGCTCTGCATACTGCTCGCACCCTCAGGTGCCACCCCCAACACCTCCCATTGCCCACGGTTCCTGGCCAATGGGAGTTGCGGAGCCAGCGCTGGCGAGCAGGAGCAGCACAAGGAGCTTCCCCGATTGCCCCTCTGCCTAGGAGCTGCAGGGACATGCCGGCCACTTCCGGGAGCCGAGTGGTGTCAGGACAGGGAGCCTGCCTTAGCCCCACGATGCCACTGCCTGGACTTTTAACAGCCTGGTCAGCAATGCTGACCGGAGACGCCGGGGTCCCTTTTTGACCGAGCGTTCTGGTCAAAAACCTTGCTTGGCAATCCTATGCAGCCCTCATGACAGAGAAGAGCTTGGAAGCATGACTGCTAGAAACTGGTTACACATGAGAGCTGATATTTGCACCCGAGGCCACTAGCTGAGGTTTTAAGCAACGCCAGTTGTCACAAAGCCTTGCAATCAAATTGCAAGTGTTGGCAACCCTGTTATCCAAAGAAGGTCTTGATGAGTCAGGGGGTGGGTCTCAAATCGCGTTAACACAAAAGTTCACTTAATATTGAAAAGCCAAGTCAAGACACTGGCTAGCGTGTTTGGAGGTATGTTGGCGGCTTAGGCCAGGACATAACCTGCTTACAGCCTAGCCTGCAACACCTCACCCTGTCTGCAAAAAAGCTGCCCCTGGACAGGTTAGCTCAGCAGGAGACGGATACATTTCAATGGAGCATGTTCACATGGCACCACTTGGACCAGTGTATTTGGTTCAGCAAGGAGAGTGGTATACCATGGATAGACAGTCCAGCATTCTCCACTGCCCCGCAGGCTCCCCGAGTTAACGTAATGTGATTCAAAGCCACAGCTTTCTGCCCAGCATGGCCTGGCCCAGAGGAATGCCACACTGATGGTGGAGGGAGTTTACCTCAATTAATTCTGTTCTTACCCTACTTCATGCACTGAGGACCTCAGGCCAAGAATTTTTATGATCTGGGTGCCCAGACTGGCTAATCAGTTTCAAGGCAAGCAGCCAACAATTTGCAGGGCATGCAGAGATCACAACACACACAAACCCCACTGAAATTCCTGGGAACTGCAGCTGGCCACCGGAATTCATTCTGGCCAAGAATTTGGCGAGCTTCAAAAGAGGGAGCAGATATTTAAATGGGCGAGAAGATCCAGAGTTCATTACTGCCAACACTTTATGGAAGGATGTTGAACCTCCTGCTTTGGGACTTAACACAATTCAACTAGTAGGGATCAGCGGGGGTCGGGGGAGGGGAGGTAAGATTACCCCCACACCTGCCGCTGTAGGACTCACTTCTTATACGTTCCTCTGAGGCAGTTGGAGGCCAGATACTGGACACTATAAACCTCCAACTGTCTAATCACACAAACCCAACACCCTTGTCCCGCCCTGCACCCTCCATCGCT